TCTGCAATAGGATAATAACCGTAACATTTAAAGAGAAATATGAAATAGTGATATACAGTGTGTATCTCTTTCCTCTTTTTCATAATTTCAAAAATATCCAAAAAATATTAGTACATATACACATGCAAGTTTTTTTTTAAAGTAGATTCGAATGTTAACAAATAAATTTCTAAATATAATGTATTCTAATTAGATTCTAATTAGAAATAGATATTTGCAAATGTTACTAAAATATAAAAAATTATTAATTACATTAATGCAGAATGCAATTACAATGTGCCATACACAATGCACGATTATTTCCTCATAGCAAAGTCGTTAAAACTTATCTTCATTATGACGGACAACGAATCGTAGCGATATCACGATCGATACTTTCTCTCACAGAGGCTCGTTAGAAACATCTGTCGCGACCTGACATAGTCGTTCCTACGTTGCGGCTGCGAAACATCAGGACAATTTCTGTGCATTGTCCTTTTGAATTATTGCTTCTCTCTCTATCCGAATTTTTTCAAGTCCACATACATTCTATACCATCAATCAACTCTTGATAACAATAATGCTGCGAAGAGTGCAAGTAAATAAACTACTATTAAATTAATGCTTATTTACATAGCGCATTAGATTATTCGTAACTATCGGAAGATTCAATACGTTACGCAAATAATTGTAATCTGCGGTTGCACATTGCGAAACGAGACGCTTCATAACAACATAAATTAGGAAGAAATACTCAAGTAAGTTGACAAAAACTCGACAGGAAATTTGGGACAGCTGTCGACACGGTAGGCTAGAAAATTTAGAAAAAGAGCCACGTCGTTAACGGCTAATTTCGGAGCAACTTTTGCCGCGTGCGAGCCTTCCAATATCTCCCAGGATCAAGTTTTTATGTTTGATAAAGAGACATTCACAGCGTTGTTTTCTAAAAAAAAAATGTTATTGAAGATGATCTGCGTAAGGGATGCTGCGTACAAACTAGCAATAAAAATTCTATTTTGTAGCTTTGTGTCGATATAAATTACGTATTCTTAAAATAACTATCATTCAAATTACAATTACAATTAACAAAGGTTGAAAAACAAACAACGCATATCACGTAAACTTGTATGCGTTTCACGTGCTCATCCTAGTACCGTCGCGAAGTTTGCGAGTACCATCGATCGTCCTCTGCACGCGGGTCTTTCGCGAGTTTCGTCGCGGCACGTCGCAGGAGGCCGTCTGTGCGCGAGAGTGTAAGTGAGATGATGCGCGCGTGTGTCGTGCGTGCGTGCGCGCGCGCGCACCCGGAGCACGCACTTACGCACGATCGACGCGGATCGTTCGCTCGTTGTGCGTGGCGCGCTACGTTGCCATGACGACCAGTGGCAGTGCGACGCATTGATCGCAGACTCCCGCTCGCTCGCTCGCTCGCTCGCTCGGCGGTGCGTGGACTACGGAGTCGAGTGCGTAGAGACGCGACGGAGAAAGGAGAGGAGAATACGCACGCACGTACACACGCCCGAACGCGGCATGTGCGCATGCATGCACGAACGCATGTAGCACGCACGCACGCACGCACGCACGCACGCACGCGAAGAGGCAGGCACCGGGGATAATGCGCGTACGAAGCGGACACGCTGGGCTTCCTCGCTCTTTGCCAGGCTCTTTTTCGTTTCGTGTTTTACAATGACGATTTAGAGCGTCGTTTAAGCTGTGGACTGTTATTATTCTCGCCTATATACAACGATGATTATTAATTCAGCTTCCTTTTCTACGTCTTTCATTTCCCTAGTCTTTAATCAAACACACGTTATGGTTAGACGTTCTCAGTTCAATCGTTTTGCCTTTATTCTCTAGATTTTTACAGGATAACGCACGAAACGTCATACCTATATTTGCTTTATTTGACACATTTATTTTTAGTAAAATTGGTACAGAGATGAGAGAACCGATATAGAATTAATTGACGAAGTTTCGAAAATTGGTTAAATGGTATGACATTTTGCATGCAGCCTGTATCCCGCTTCCTACGCGCGGGTGATCTGTTTCAAGTAGGATTGATGTAAACTGTAATTTTAAGATTTATCTCACATTTATCTCTTTCTTTATAAATAACAACTATAAGATAATGACATAAACATAAATTTAATTATTTTTCAGCCGCGTGCATAGCGTTATATCACAAAATATAGTCTCTACAGTTTTAGTTCCGGCTTTGAGCGAAACAAGATGCACAAGATATCCCAGTTTTTTCTCCACAAAGATACACTTCAAGGTAATAAAATCGCGTCGCCACGCCGCGCCGCGCCGCGTCGCGCGATGTCGGCCGGGCAGAAGCGGCAATAGATGGACGAAAGGGTTAGCTTCGAGATTAAAAGGAAGTCACCCCCTGCTCCTCCCTTCTCTTCCATCAATCACAATTATATCCTCTCTCTCTCCCCTGCTATCGTTCATAATTACTGCTCGTGACTTTATCCCGGCGCGGCGCTCGAAGCTGCCGGTCGAGCAGCTTGGTGTAACGCGAGAGAAAAAGAGGAAAGGGGAACACGGATGCTTGAAGCGAGATGGAGCACCATAGACTTTTGGCACGGAGATTACTGTAAAACTCCCTGTCGGGGGTGGCAAGAATCTCGAGGAGAAAAAAAAAGTTTCGTACCCTCCGGCCGTTGTTTTGCTCTCGTCGTGGAAACGGAAACGAAGCCGCTATATCTCTCTTTAAAAAAAAAAAAAATCTCTGCGTGTTTTCGAGCTCGCAAAATTTCTACTCGGACGAACCCAGTGAAATATTTTCTCGAACGCAATTGAAGCGCGATCGCTCGGATGCGTCCTGTTATGCAGTTCGCTTTCAGTAAATAATGTCATGGTATTCGATGACGCAGAGCGTTCGCGCGTGCACGGTGCATTAAACGCCACCGATGAACTTACGTCACATTAAAAAAATTGTTGCTGAGTACCCAAGGTCGCTTTTTTATGTAAGTTCGCTCGGGGAAAAAAAATATCATAGGTAAAGTCTGTGCCGTCAGCGCTGACCTTACGCAGTCCTTTTTACACGCAGAAAAATCTCGATTCCGTTCACGTGATGATATTTTCAATCAATCGAATCGAGCGATCAATGAGACGACGACGTCTAATTAATCTAGCGGTTTCGCGAAATTGTAATTGTGTTGGCGCAACCGCCGTAGGACCGACTGCCGTCGACAAACTTGACCTATCCGATTGCGCGCTCAGGAAATGGCACGGAAGCGGAAATGGGTCAGACATGTGATTTGATACAAGATGCGTACGATTTTGCACGTCGAAATCGGAATTAATTAAGTCTCTCGCCGAATTAATGACACGTACACACATATATACGTGACACAGCAGCCTTTCTCTACTTATGTATTCGGAGCATTTTTTTAAACAAGTCCACATCATTTGCGCGCGGTCCATGTGCTTCGCTCGTCATCTTGCGACTTGGGAGGGATCAAAGGTGGGCTTCCTCTTCCTGAAACGTGACATCTGGACGCCGTGAATCGACTCGGAATCTCGATTTAATCTCGCCGAGACCCCAGATGCGAGGCAAACCGCTGTAAATTATCGCGGTACCATTTGGCGTTTTTATCTACGTACAATGAGTATGAAAAAGAATACTCTACCTTTAAAAAAAAAAAATCGTGATACTTTTACAATTGGTTTTCGATTATGGACTAGTGAATCATAGAGTAAAACGCGAGATATAGCACGTGAGATAAATTATGAATTAAACGTGAAAATGTTACACTTGAGATAAATTATCAAGTATTTATAACGGTTCGAAAATTTCTCGCAAGTAAGATTTCTTTTAATTAATACATTATCCTTCGCTCCATACAATATATACATACGCTATCGCAGGACGACCTCGCTTCCCTGCGGAAGGCCCCTTACGTCCGTCGTTGGCTCACACACGCTTACGCGCGTGCATATAAACGGAAACCCTTCAAGTAGCCTACCATCCACCTCATATGTACAGACACTTCTGTCACGCACGAGTGGAGGGAAACGCGTAAGGTACAAGTGCACGCGTATAGGCGCACCGCGTGTAGGTGCAACCCGTTGCACTTATGTACGTACGTACGTACACCTACAATTCACCCCTCGTTTCGCTGGACGCGAAGGGGTGGCCGAGGGGGATACCGGGGTGGCAACTCTTGAGCAGGTGCGAGTGAGTGGGTGCGTTTCTCCATGCAGAACGGAATCTACAGCGAATCCGAGACGCACTAAATAGTTCCTCTCTTCCTTTCCCTTGAAAACGCGCTTTTCAGCATTTTTGTGTTCATTGCCGTGACGTTCGGTATCTTCATAAAAAAATTATACATGAGAATCATGATTTATGCATCGTTTCGTAACCGGCTATCGGAACGGACGAGATACCGTGAAATATTTACGCATCAAAAGCATAATCATTGTCGTTACTATTGAAAATTACGAGCGACATTCTGTGTCGTATCAACGTTATGATAAGGACTTTGTAGGTACGTGAAAATTGTCAGAAAACGACGTGAAAAGGGTCGTATTACATCCTCCATAACATTTCCGCGTGGAACTTGCGCGTGTCTGACCTCCAGTTTCTCCCCCGTCATCCCGTCATTCGGCCTTCATCCCTCTTTTTGTTCGTCCTTTTCGAACTAACGCAAGTTGCGAAATCGAGATCCTTTATTTTACACCCTCTGGAATCTTTCCTTGCATTCTTCGAACATTAGTATATCCACCTTGATAAGGTGTCACGACTAGTACTGCGATGTTGTGATTCATGCAACATTACCCTGGCAAAGTCGATAAATTATTTAGTACGATAAGTCGTCATAACAAACACTCGATATTTGCCCATTTTATTATATAACTTTGAATAATAATTTATTTCAAAGATTCAAGATATCTTTTAAACAATAATTCCTTTTTTTCTTTACTAAACATTTTACGCGATTTACGGTAAAATAAGCATTTTTACTGAAAATAGCGATATCATAAACGACAAAGGTAAATGAACTGTCTTCGTTATTCATTCGCGTATTAATCATATCACGTAGAACAGATTTGCTGTTATATTACATAATTACGAAATTTTCTTCCGCCGTCCTTTTCTCATTGAAGTACTTATATTGTATAAATAATCTTAACATATGGTGATACAACTATTTGTTGAAACATCCCCTAAATAAAGTTCTCACATATTGTTGAAACAAAAAAAATAACATTAATTAAAAACTATATGTAGAATTAATAATCTGTGATAATAGCGCGCAATTGCGCGATTTATCTCTGTAGAATGCTTATAGTGAATCAGTGATCGTGGATGCCAAAACATAAATAAGAAATATTCGAGATGATTTTGCTGTAATCAATAAAGTATATAAAAGATTCGTATATATATGTATTTAAATGTACGATGCGAGTAATAATATTGGTATAGCGACATCTCTCACTGAAAGATTCTCCACCTATTAATCGCAGAGAAACACGTCGAGTGCATTCATTGACGCATTTAACAGAATTATGCTGTTCGTGATTCGCAATTAACAATGGTAATTAACGATAAACTGACAACGTGTATCCGCCTCTGTCTTACACCGCTGGTAATACGTGTCGCGATACACACTTTTACTCGGATACACACCGTTCATAGAACACTACATTATCGGTACCCACTTTCAATGCTGTTGCCAGGCGCGCTCTATGTCGCAGAATTACAACCGTGAAGAGAACGACGTGCACGACCGCGTTTAATAGCGCTTACCCCCTGAAATTAACCCTTTCGCGCTATAGCACGACGCCGTAGTCGCAGTATCCTTAGAAATTCGGTATGATCTGGCACGAGCAACCATGCGGAAACCAGAATAAGTCGGTGTAAAGTCGATTTCCGCTACCCTGGAGTGCGACTAGTCTCTTTTGCACAAATTGTTGCTCGCATCTACTCTTGTACCCCTCCGGGATGGAGCATATACCGTCGCACACGTCATTCCTAAAAGCACAAAGAGAGGATTGATATTTTCTCATTCTCGGTCTCCCTTATGTTCAGTTCATCATCTGATATGATGGTTCTAATGTGACATAAAAACATGACCTCTCTTGAATTAATACCACTTAGAGTAAACGTGAAAATTAAAAGTAAAAAAAGTAAAACGCAAATTAAATTAGAGTGATTTTACAAATATTACAAGTATCCTTCGTGGCCCTGTGTTAGATTTACTGTTAAGATAAAAAAGACAACACAAACACAAATTCTCTCAGCATACTTACAAACATTTCTCGCTTCTGACAAGCTGCGAATACTTGTTTTGTCCAGGAATATTAACAACATACATCCAGTTACCCTGTTTGTTCAAAGCGGCTCTGGGAGCGATATATTGGGCTCGTGTGGGACACAGGGAGATGATTTCCGAATCCGACTGCCTTTTTACTCGGTCACCCTTAAGATTCGCGTATCCCAATAACGGGTTTACGCTGTAACTTCGCGGTGCTATCTTGTCACCTCGCGAATACCTATTATTTAAGACAAGATATAAATATATACAGTGAGTGCAAAGAGTATACGCACAGATGATCTCTTTTATAAAAGTCTTTTAGAAAAAATAAACACTAATTAATAATTTTATACAATGAATACGTTCTGTTTTAATATAGAATAGAATTTATTTATCTTAGCTTACATTACCAAAAGGGACTTCCGTTCTAATATAAACAAGAGATCTTCGCATGTGCCTGGTCTTAAAAGCTAAATTTCTCGACTCTACGAATACTTTTTGTACATCTAAACAATGTTTTATTTTCGCTTATTTTTAAGATAACATGTTTTAATTATTACATATACATTTTAGATCAAATAATTTTGGGAAAAGTATTGTTTATTTTATCTTTTGTGAATAAATTGCTAATTGATGTTTACTTTTTAAAAATAAGGTTTTTGAAAAAGATATCTGTACGAATATTTTTTGCACTCACTATATGTATATTAGGTTGCAAGAAGAAATCATCGTTTTTAACTTCTCCGTGCGATATTTCATACCTATTCGTTAGCCACGATTGGTTTGACTCAAATACGTTTATGGATTCTTGCGAATGAGCACGCTCGATTTGTCGTTGGACGTCGTGATGATACTTCAGCGTTACTTCCGGAAAGAAAGGATTTCTTTGCGAGTACGGCGGTGTAGAATATTTGTAACTGCAATTCGACAAATCGAAATTCTAATTTTGTACATTAATATCATTTTAGTGCTTTTTTGTTTGTATTATTATTTGTGTCTTTTCATCTAATCTCATCTCATCTCGTACAAATAATATAAATAATTTAACATATGAATACGTAATAAGTCTTACCCATGATAACGACTACTATTGGATGGAGGTCCGTACACTGGAGCTGGCTCTCCTCCAAGAGGAGACTGCGAATATAATTGACTATCGTCTTGTCGTGGATAATCATAGCCTTGATTATAATCCGGTGGAGAACTTAAAAATGATAATAAAAAGGATATGAGTGAAGATATCAATAACATTCAAATAAATGATTAATTGAGACGTATCTAAGCAATACATTACATGCCATTTTTTAATTTTTCAAGTGAAAGAAAAAACTTATTTTCTTGAAAATTACTTCAAAAATTATCGTAATAACTAAAGATATGAACAATCAGTCTCTGCAAAAAATTTTAATTTTTAATTCTAATTAAAAAAAATCATGTTAAAGTTGTTAAAAATTCAAATGTAAGTCAAAGTAAAAATGCAAATTAAAAACGTTGCTTTCCAAATAAAAATGTCAGTCCAAACGTTGTAAGTCCAAGTAAAAATGCCAATTGCACAATGGACATACAACATTATGTGTTGCAAACTCTCCGTTTATAGCACTTTTCGCGCTAAATATGTGATAGAACACAATATATATATTTACAGTTCATGCAATAAAATATATTTTCACAATCTTGGCATTTAAAATATTTTGTTGTGACACGTCTCAATTATATAATATGTCAACGTCTCTAATGATAAAAATGAGTAAATTATTCGTACTTATCTGAGTCTCTTGTGTGTATATAAGTTTCTTTTACATATATGTATCACGATATTCCAGTTGTACTGAAAATATACCTGTAAGCGTTGAAATCGTCGCGGGACTCATCTTGCAGCGCGGTGTTAAAGTCGAAGCTGCATTTGTCGACGAGAAACTTGATGAGTTGTCTAAAAAAAAATAATAATAAAAAGGAAAAGGAAAAAGAAAGAAACCGTTACCTCTGCCGAGAACGGAATACAATACGTTGATAAAAACGGGTAATGCATTCTCTCGAGGATATTACATTCGACCTTTGGCCTCGCGCGCGAGCAGAGATCTTGCTGCAACGCGTATCAAAGATACCGGCCATTCTGTCTCTCAACTAGACGACCGAGATTCGTCTCTCTTCCAGGTTGACAAAAGGTTATTTACGCAGGTGCGTTCTCAATTGGGCATTGCGCAACTGTGTTAGGTCTGAGCAAGCATTAACGAGGCGAGATGCAGTGTGTTTGTTTGTGGCAAAATGACACGCGCGACGTCGCGCCGTGAGCGATAGCTAGGCCGACTTGAGTCAGCAATTTGATATTGTCAATCTAATTGACCGTTGCTCAGGTCTTTCTTAAGCGCATATATAGCTATCGGAAGTGACAGCTGTCGTAGTCCCAAGTTTCTCCAGTTAAAATTATTATATCACCTTGCTGCGGTAGGATCGTTGCAACTTATCGAAAAATTCTATCTTATTTTACTATACGGTGCTGAAAGATTTGGAAATTGCATGAGACAGAATACGGTATTAGCGATATTTTTGAATGTCCGAATTGTTTAAAAAAAAAGAGTTTGTTTTGTACGTTAAAATACCGCGGTTTTATTTGTACACTACCCGTTTCATTATTTATTTCCTGCAAATTTGTCCACAATCGTGTACGATTCGCGAATGTTAAATACGAGTGTTATCCATTCAAATATTTGAGATCGTTTTGAAAGAACGATTTGTCTAGTGGAGGAGAAAGGAAGAATCGGCGTTTTTGATGAGGCTCGATTTGGGACTATTATAATGGGTCCAATAATTATCCAACAAAAAAATTATGACCGCGCCAAGGCCATGGTCATGGTACGCTGAGCAACGATCTCACGGACGTTCTTACATTATAGTTGCCGCTCACTTTACGTAACTCATCCTAACATCTTCAGAATAGGACTTAAGTGTGAAAGTGCACGCAAAAATTTAGGAAATCGACTTACAGCCGACTTGCATATGTAGCACGAGAACCGCGGCACAAGCGGAGGAACTAACGAACGCTCGAACATTTCATGTCTATGATTCCATTGCGGCAAAGATGGAGTTCTCTTGCGCTAGGTCGCGCTTATTAAAAATGAGAGACAAAAATTATTTTATGCCAAGCGAGAGTCTATCTGGCATAAAAAAATTGGTTGTGCAAGCCTATTAAGGCAAAACTCGATGCTTTCGAAAAACAGATTCTCACCTCAAAGGAAGAGAGGAGAGTTAACAGACTTTCCCCTCCAGAAGCTTTTCTCAACGTGTGCGTCGGTCATTTGTATGCATGGAAGAAGGCGGAAGATGGACATGGTGGACGCGGCGAAAGGAATATCAACAATTGAAAATGGGTCGACCGGATCGTCGCAGATTTCCACTTGTTGCGTTACCACTCGCCCGCCGGGCTGGACAGCGATATTTTTAGGAGAAAAGGGGGACGAAGAGTTCTAAGGGCACTTACCGAGGATAATGATCTGGGGTTTCGCAGAAGGTCTGCCCCGGTGGCGCGCATTGGGGGGTGAGTCCTGGAGGCGCGGGTACGAAGGGTTCGTACTGCGGCCGTCCTGGACATCCGTACTCCGTACAAGGTTCACCCCAGGTAACCATTAAGAAAAACTGTTGGTACAAACAAGACATTACAATACAGACATCGTAATAATATGATTCAGAAAAAGACGTACTTCGAAAAATTAAAAAGTGCCTATTTTTAAATTTATTTTTCGATTATTAATATTCTGTATATGCCAAAATATACATTCTCTTTGTATACGCATGTAAAAGCATAGTTTACGCACGTTTTGTATTTGCGGTCAAATACACGTAGATGAAACACGAGATCTTCACTAGTGTTGACTAAGCGTAATGTATAATATGGGACCAGTTATTGTGAAATACTGCACCGACTTGTAATTGATCGCTTATCAGGATACTTCCTGTACTGTGCCTATGGTACAAACGCGTGCTTTTTGCGACGGTATTAATCGGCTCTGATTCAGCCTACACGTAATTCGATCGGCAGATAAAAATGCGTTAGCTATTAATCAAGGTGAGTCAATGCGGAAACCGCGATTAGAAAGATGTACAATGTGCAATTAATAGAAAGAACGTTACATCATATTTAAATACAGCTTCTTGGATATTCTACTATGATCGGCGATTGGTTATTTTTAATATTATGCTAGACCGATCACTTACGATTGATATTAGATGCCACGCGAACGCCATTTCGATCTATCGTTATGATTCACCCCTCCGTGATAGAACCTTCTCTCCTGTGGTGAGCACGGCAGGTGTCTCGGCAGGAAGGAGGCCGCGAAGTCACTTAATTGGCATCGCGTGCTGATCAATCGCCGTGCCAATGTCACCGCTGATAAACGATAACCCGACCCGACCCAGGATCGCTGCTCAGAGGATGATCGTAAGAGACAGAAAATCCCGTTAAGAGAGGACAAAATCAAATTGAGTTTCGCGCTCGATACCTTCGAATTTTTCAGATAAACGACAGCTTGCGTTCGTTGGCCGAATCTCGATCCGCGTTGACTTTTGCGGATTCTAAGCCGAAAGAAGGCGATCCAATTCGGGATTGATCACCCGTCTTCTCTAGACGCTACTGTTGTTGCAATGCGCGTGACTCGTTGTCGCACCGACTATGACAGAGTACGGTTAACCATAATGGGCGTCTTTCCACTTTTGGCCAGCGTGATTCGAAAGTGTCCACGACACTGGGTCCAGATACTGGCGCGATTCGATTCTACGCGCCGCGAGTCTACCTAGCAACGTGGGATACGTGGGTATACCTGTGCGTTGGCCCCTTCCTCGGGCGACGTGCACGAGTTCTGCGGTGCTCAGGGTGGGGTAGGCGGACACATACTTTCACTGGAATACGTGCGGCGAGGGATTCATCGACCTTATGACAGCGTGAACTAAGTTTTTTCTCCGGATGACACGGATACATCTTGATTATGTGACGGAGCTAGTGCGTCAGGAAAGAGAAAGAGAAATGTTATTGCTTATATACTGAAGCTCGGTATAGTGAAGTTTAGTAGACAGAAATCGTTAAAATTTCTTTTCTTTTACATGAAATATGCACGTGTCTTTCACTATAAGTTCTTAAGAAGATAGATTGCCTTTTGGTGAAAATTCGAGGTCACTCGCTGTAAGATAACAATGTCAAATATTTAAAAATTGAGTAAAAGTAATGTTAAATATTTCGAATATTCCTGTTTTAATAAAATAGTTGATCTAAAATAAAGTTATATTAAGAAGGAAACATTATAAGAAAATTAAATGGTTTGGTTCAAATATTTAAAATACTTCCTTATAATATTTTCTTTAAATACATATAATAATCTGAAATTACGACTCCTGGTCGTTACTTACAGGGGATTCAGTAATCTAAAATGAAAAAAGTAGTCTTATAATTGCAGAGGGGAGAGAGACGTCATTACATAATTATGTTTTATTATTATTTAGAGTTTTTATTTGAAACTCCATCTCTATAATATTTTAAACAGTCAATTACTTTTTTTATTTATATGATACATCAAAAATGCAGCTATAACATTCTCATAATATAAGGATTTAAATAATTATTTGCGTTTATTACAGACAGAATTGCGACTAGGATATAAAAATGAATCATTTTTTGATAATTCAGAAAGCGCGCTACATGGATTCCTTCATTTGGCTTAATCTAGGAAAATTAACATTTAAATATAGCGGTTTTACAGCCATGTTCATTTTTAGGTTCGAGTTGTGCTTGTGATACACAAGATGACGCTTGAAGTGCATGCTTGCATTTAGTACAGGACTGTGTTATCTACTGAGAAATACTGGTGTCAGGACTGCTAAGTGCTAAGCCGTATCTGCCGCATTAGAGCTGCTGGCAACACTTCTCATCCATTCCAACTTTTAACATAACCCTGCGGCACAGTCGGCAACAGTCGGCTCGTTCATTCATTTTGAATCTCCGCATATGCGAAACGCGATCACCCAGCTCGCGTTATATTGCTCGAACGGATCGTGTGTTTAAAGGGAATCTCTGATGTGAATGGTGCTTAAAGTTTGTTGGTCGTTAAAACGTTTCTCGCCCGTTGTGACGACTTGTTAATCGTTGTCGGCGTAATCATGGCGGCGACCTCCTCACGAGTAGACGATCTCGTGCAATCCGTCAGCCTGCACAATCCACGAAAATGGATGTTCAACGGTTACATCCTGCCCTTCGTGATGCTACAGTCCCTGTGGATCTACTGTTGGATCTTCGTTTATGGCGTTGACGAGTACTATGACGCGGGCCTGGTGGGCATCGCAGCAATCGGCGTGCTGCAGATTTTCCTGTGCCTATGCTGTCAATGGTCGGTGCACATCCATACGTTCATAAACTGCAGCTCCGTAAGTGGCAATTATCCTTCAATCTGTCTCAAATAACGGGCACGTGGCTCTTCGTGGCTCCAATATGTTCCATAATTTGGTAGCCATTCGAACGCCCGGTCGTCTGCTAGAGTCGATCACGTGACACCTCGGCGGTACATTCGAACATCGCGAAAGATAAGCTTTGAGCATAGAATCTCATTTCAGCGTTTTATTTTGCGTTATTCCTTTCTTCTATTCCGTAAATAAAATTTCAGGAGGAGGATCCACACAAAGCCAGGATAGTTAAAGTAGTTCCCACCCCAAACAATGGCAGCTCGGAGCTGATTTCATTACATCACACGGATGAACAGGAACCTTGGTTCATTTTTCAAAAGACAAAATATTACTGGGACCCGGATAAAAGGTCATTCAGAGGGCTACAGTTCCCAATCAATCATTCCGTGAAACATTACTCTGAATGGAAAGGGTATCTGGATCAAAACGAAATTAAGAAAGCAGAAGAAAAATATGGGAAAAACAAGTATAGTGTGAACAACTTGCATCAATTCCTCGCAAGGCATCTTTTACCTCGCTGAAAATATTGTTTTTTTTTTACTAGATTGGACATGATTGTACCAGAATTCTGGGAGCTCTTTAAAGAGCGCGCTATTGCTCCGTTCTTCGTCTTTCAAGTATTCTGTGTGGCACTATGGTGCTTAGATAAATATTGGTATTATAGTATCTTTACATTGATCATGCTTATCATGTTTGAGTGTACACTGGTGCAACAACAATTAAGAAATATGGCGGAGATTCGTAAAATGGGCAATAAACCTTACATGATAATGGTATTAATACGAATACTGTCTGCTTGCGATTTACTTATTTCGGGCCAATTTCGTTTTCACGCTTATTTTTTTCTCTTTTAGGTGTATAGAAATAGACGATGGCGTTCATCATTTACAGACCAACTAGTTCCTGGAGATATTGTCTCTATTACAAGGCCTCAACATGATAATTTAGTGCCATGTGATATGTTGCTTTTGCGAGGCCCCTGCGTGGTTGACGAAAGCATGTTAACAGGTACTTTAAACAAGCTAGTAATATGTTTAAATCACAGACATAGATCATAGCAACTGAGAGAGAGAAATGTCTAGGTGAATCTGTACCTCAAATGAAAGAACCTGTAGAAGATATTGATGGAAATAGAATTATAGATATCGAAGGAGATGATAAACTTCACGTGCTTTTCGGTGGTACGAAAGTTGTACAGCATGCACCTCCTAGCAAAACTACTCCCGGTCTTCGAGGTATTATTAATAAATTTTATTTTTCACTTATAATGTTCTCACTCACTTTATTATTATTTACGGCATTAATGCGTGATATTACAGCGACCGATAATGGATGCATTGCTTACGTATTACGTACCGGCTTTTCCACCTCACAGGGAAAACTTTTAAGAACGATATTGTTCGGCGTTAAACGCGTTACAGCCAATAATTTAGAAACTTTCGGCTTCATTCTATTCTTGCTTATTTTTGCAATTGCTGCCGCCGCATATGTGTGGATCAAAGGTAATTCAATGTTACACATAAAAGTGAGAATTACGATAAATATTAACATGTACAAATTTCGATTTTAGGCAGCGAGGATCCTACAAGGAACAAGTATAAATTATTTTTGGAATGCACATTAATTTTGACGTCTGTTGTACCACCAGAGTTACCTATAGAATTATCTCTGGCTGTAAATACGTCTCTGGTAGCTCTATCCAAATTAGGTATTTAAAATAGATTTACTTTACCGAAAGCTTAAGGATGTATAAAACATGGAAAAATTATAAATTTTTCTATATTGCATTTGAAAGTAGTACGAAAAGTTTGATAGCGATTTAAAAACTTGGATTCAAAAATAATTTCAATAAGAAATACATATAATACATCTTCAAACCTATGAGAGTTACGTATAAAAATTGTTATGCCTCTTTGCAGGTGTATTCTGCACGGAACCGTTTAGAATTCCATTCGCCGGCAAAGTCGATATTTGTTGTTTCGACAAGACCGGTACGCTTACTAGTGATAATTTGGTTGTAGAGGGTATCGCGGGGATGAAGTAAGAAACTACTATCCGTTTTATTATCTTCGAGTAATCTTTCGCGCTATTAGAAAGTATGATTTTAATCTTTTACTTTTTAAGCGGTAAGCCAGACGTGGTCCAAATATCAGATGCACCTTTGGAGAGCATTCAAGTACTCGCCACGTGTCATTCGCTTGTTCAATTAGACGATGGTATCGTTGGGGATCCGCTAGAAAAAGCTACTCTCAAAGCTATCAATTGGAATCTCACGAAAGGTATAAATTTGCAAATAAAATACAACACAAACATATTAATACGCTACTTCATGCTAACATTTCGTTTAGGTGATTCTGTAATTCCTAAAAAGGGTAAATCTTCCGCATTGAAGATTGTACAGAGATATCATTTTTCATCGGCTTTGAAAAGAATGTGCGTTGTGGCTGGATATAATATTTCTGGGGCTTCAGACGTACATTACATGGCTACGGTAAAAGGTGCGCCAGAAACATTGAAGAATATGGTGAGCAAAATAACATTTGTCCACAATTTTAATTGATTTTTGTGTTTGTTGTTATTGATATAATCTGTTTCATTTCAGTTATCTTCTGTGCCAGAAAATTACGATTCAATCTATTTATCTCTTTCACGGCGCGGTGCAAGAGTTCTCGCTTTGGGCTATCGAAAACTTACCGGTAGCTTCTCCTCTCAAGAGTTAAGAGAATTAACTCGTGAAAAGTTGGAGAATAATCTCACATTTGCGGGATTTGTCATCATCAGCTGCCCTCTTAAATCCGACTCGAAAGCTGTTATTAAAGAAATCGTCAATTCATCACATTCGGTATGTATGTTGAGATGTCGATGATAAAAGTTTCAAAAAAATTTTACATAATTACCAAAAACTGAACGAGTTTAATATAATTATTTAGGTCGTGATGATAACGGGTGACAATCCTTTGACGGCTTGTCATGTAAGCCGCGAGCTACATTTCACGAAGAAACCTAGCACACTTATACTAACCAAAAATGATGGCGAATGGTTGTGGGAAAGCATAGACAAAAAGACTCAGCTTCCTCTAAGCATGAAAAATATTGAATCGCGAAAAGAGATCTGGAAAGAATATGCGCTTTGCGTGACGGGTGAAGTACGTAAATGAATAAAAATGTCGACTTTTTTACAATGATCGTTTGTTATTGCATAATTAACTTTTCTAGGGCTTATCGTATCTGAAGGAAAAAGAACGGGGACTTCTTTGGAAACTCTTGCCACACGTTATAATATTTGCACGATGTGCACCGAAGCAAAAAGAATTCATTATTATATCGCTACAATCTTTAGGCTATACGACGTTGATGTGCGGTGACGGAAC